AGGAGAGGAGAGGAGAGGAGAGGAGAGGAGAGGAGAGGAGAGGAGAGGAGAGAGGAGAGGAGCTTGTCACCACTGAGAAAGTGAGACAAAAAACCCTGACTGAAACAGGGCAAAGGATTCAGAAGTTGTCAGAAAGGACAGACAGACAGAACTGATATTGTGAAGGAATAGCACAATTATAAAGCACATTATAAAACAAGTGATAAGGCTGGAAACCAGGAATACATGTAAGAGGAAAATGAAAAGTAACTTATATCTTTTAGTACGACACTCTCACTTGCAAAGGCTGGAGCATTCCCTGCTGTGTTCTAAGAAGAAGGTATAGAATTCTCATATGACATAGTAAGAGTTTTTGAAACCTTATTGAAATGTGATAAACACAGAGAGACAATTTAGAACATTAAAAATTATAATTGCATTAAGAATTGACTGTTGATAATGTTTCTACATTAAACTGGTCACACTTTTAGAAGCACTATATATATTTAACTTATGGATATTTCATTACATCTTTATTGTGTAACATTAACAGTCAATTTTTGGTTTTGAGGTGTGATGAAACATGATAGCTAATTCAGCCAAGTTATAGCTAAAAATTTGCTGTGGTTTTAATAAAGATACTTAATTCTGTGTTCATGATTTCTCTAAGTGAAATTATTTCACCTTGACACACTGCTATTTCAAAAGGTATCTTCCAAGAACTGCCCTTGCTGGATGTGAACACACCACAGGGCAAGATCAGACAAAATAATGTAACAAAGTTTGACAATTAATGCAATTACAATTCCTTGTACAGTGTTCACTGTCAGACTAATTTTAAACTTCAGTAAATTCTAAGAACACACCAAGCAAGCTGTAACATTCTCATCTACTGGATTATGTTAACTAAAACAATAATGAGAGCCACTTTAGTAGATTTGCCTGGAGAAGAGAAGGTTGTGTGGAGACCTCAGAGCAATCTGCCAGGATCTGAAGGGGCTCCAAGGAAGCTGCAGAGGCACTCTGTGTTAGGAGCTGCAGTGAGAGGACAAGGAGTAACAGGTATAAATTGAAAGAGGGAAATTTAGGTTAGATATTAGGAAGAGGTTTTCCCTGTGAGGGTGGTGAGACACTGGCACAGGTTGCCCAGGGAGGCTGTGGTTGCCCCAGTCCTGGCAGTGTTCAAAGCCAGGTTGGATGAAGCCTTGAGCAACCTGCTCTGGTGGGAGGTGTCCCTGCCCAGGGCAGGGGGTTGGGACTACACGATCTGTAAGATCCATTCCAACCCCTTAAGATACTATGACTAAGATCTCTTTTAGAGTTTTCCTTGATGCATTCATTATCCATAAATGCTACCTTTCTTTCTTTCCATTTCCCCTCTAGGTGAGTTACATGATGGGAGGGTTAGCTGCAATGGTTCCAAGAAGCATGTGAAAGATACATGACTGGGAAATAATGCAGTCAAGTGTCTCTTGGAAAGCACTCACAATACAGATACATCTGGGTAAACTGTATTGATGAGGAGATAATTTGTTCCCTCAGAGCTGTGCTGAAATGGTATTAACTGTATTAACCCACACCTTCTTGTACCATTCATGAGATTTCTGATATCAAGTAAAACATTATTTTCTTCAAGAACTTGATTTTATACAAGCATTTGCAAGTTGCACTTGCTCTTACCTGGAGCAGAGCTGCAAACAAATACACTGCTATAAAGACAGGGGTTAAGGAAGTATGTCCACTCTTCATTAGGTGGATAGTGTACAAGAAAATCAGATGTCCAGGAATCACCAAGAGAAGCAGAACTTGGGCTGATTTGTTATTTACTCCTACAACAACAAAACAAAAAAATACAAAATTTGGTTAAGCTCTTAGATTACTATATCAGATTTTTATTTATTTTAATATATATATACATAGAAAAGAAACACATTTCTGGAATTCCACAGCACTGACAACTATAGAACAGCAGGCAATAGTTTCCACTGAAGGACTCCTTGAGGAATTTCACAGGGAGGGGAAAAAAGACATCTCTAGTGTCAGGCAGAAAAGGTAAGCAGAGGCCTTCCAGAAGAGGATACAAACTGTCTATGCCTTCACTCTGTGCTCATGTAATATCATCTACATCTTTGGAGCTGCAGAGACCTCTTAGCCTTCCTAGGAAAGAGGATCTTTTGGACTCCATATTCAAGACACTCTCAAAAGTACTTTACAGTTCTAAAAAGTAATCCCACATTTACCACTTTCTCATCTGTTCTAATTCATTTAAGAAATATGGAAGTGTAATAACACATCACACTTCATCAGCTACTTCATTAGGAAAGTGGGAAATATGGGGGAGGAATAAGCTGTGAAGCAAGAATCTAGAAAGGAAATGGCAAACTGGAAAAGGAAAGCAGGATTTGGCTCAAAAATAATGTTAGATATGATGTTTGGTCCTAACAAGAAATTGGTTTGAACTTTTGGAGGTCAGTGACAAAAGGTTAGGAGCAAAGGAAAGATGAAGGTTGAAATCCATCTGATAGGTATCACAGCATCTTGCCTCATCTTCAACCCTTGCCAGGGTTACAGCCTTCTCTGTGCTCCTCTCTACCCATTGCCTCCTCAGGGGGTTCCTTGTGATTCTCAGGCCAACAGTTGCAGGCAAAGAGAAGTGCCAAGCCTCTGCTGCCTTAGAATTGCTCACAGCCAGTTCAGTTCATTGCCATCTCTCACTCAGTGCACAGTCTGGCATACGGGGGGGGAAGGAGTAGACATGACAGTAGTTTTAACTGACTAATACAGACCTGTACCATAATAAGTTCTGCATGGGTAATAGCAACCCTTGGCTTCTTCTGGGAGCTCTCCAGGAATGCTGTGTAAATGGAGGTAGGTAGAAATTCTGCTAGCTTGAATAGCTACTAAATTACCACCAATACCTGAAATGCAAAAGGGAAAAAAATGAGACATTTTCAATTATTTTTTTATCTAGTGAGACCCCACCTGGAATAATGCATGCAGTCCTGGTGTCCTCAACATGAGAAGGACATGGAACTGTTGGAGCAAGTCCAGAGGAGGCCACAAAGTTGCTAAGAGGACTGGAGCATCTCCCCTGTGAAGACAGGCTGAGGGAGTTGGGGCTGTTCAGCCTGGAGAAGAGAAGACTGTGTGGAGACCCCAGAGCAACTTTTCAATATCTGAAGGGCCTACAAGGGAGCCGGAGAGGGACTCTGTTAGGAACTGCAATGATAGGACAAGGGGTAATGGGTTCAAAGTGAAGGAGGGAAAGTCTAGGTTGGATGTGAGAAAAAATTTTTTACTCTAAGGGTGGTGAGACACTGGCACAGGTTGCACAGGGAACTGGTGGCTGACCTGACCCTGACAGTGTTCAAGGCCAAGCTGGATGAAGCCTTGAGCAACCTGATCTAGGTGTCCCTGCCCAGGGCAGGGTGTTGAGACTGGATGACATGTAAGCTCCATTTGCAAATACATGCCATGGTTTTGGCTCTCCTTGGACTATGTTTTCCTGTGCTGGTTAGACACCAGAACTGTAATAACAATTTTCAGAGGGAATATTCTTACTTAGCCTAAGACTGCCTTGATGGAATGATGAGGTTTTCAATTTGAGAATTGTAAGCCGGCATGACCTTCCTCACACTTTAACAGACAACATCTCTTCTGCTTATTTAGAAAGCAGCACTCTCAGATTGAAGACAAACACATTTCCTGTTCTGAGAGAAGTAACAGCTGCTGGATTAGACTTTTGAAATCAATTGTTTTCCCTTGTGTTGTGGCTCTCCTAAGAATGAGAAGAAGCTAATTAAGTTAGTCTTACTATACTGTATTTAGCATTTGCTATGATGACTGCAATAGTTTTTTCCAGGAGAAAAAAATCTCAATTAACTAAGTGTTCATGGAAACAGTCCTCACGTACGCTATTTTCATAGTAAGAGCAGCTACTGAGCACGTGAGCATGTTCTGCATTCAGAAGCTGCTGAGGAGCCATCAGTTTTGTGTATTGACATCTTACCAACCTACACAGTTTTATCTGTTTTCTGTTTCTTGCAGGGATCTGATTAATCTGATACAGCAGAGATGATAACTTCACATGCACAGTAGCTGCTGTTACCAAACAAACTGAGTATCTGTGCATATTGAAGTGATTCATTCAATGGAAGCACAGCTATACACGAGTCATTCTGTGATCAGCAGAATAATGAATCTTGATTCCCTTTTCATTTGTATCCTGAGACTTTGGAGCACCAGTCTTTTCAACCTGCAGTGTTCCTGTGGCCTCATGGCCTTGCTATGCCCACTGCTCACAACATTTTCTCCATTTTCCCTCTGATTTGCACAACATCATCAATTCTCTTCTGTGTCACTGGCTGAGAAGAGGCATCATGTCTAGCTCCAAGCTCGGGGCTGACTGGCCAGCTGGGCAGCAGTATGCTCAGGTGGCCAAGAAGGCCAATGGCATCCTGGCCTGGAACAGAAACAGAGTGGTCAGCAGGACCAGGGAAGTGATTCTGCCCCTGGACTGCACTGGTGAGGTCACACCTTGAATTCGGTGCTCGGTTCTGGGCCCCTCAGTTCAGGAGGGATATTGAGGTGCTGGAGCAGGTCCAGAGAAGAGCAACGAGGCTGGTGAAGGGACTTGAGCACAACTCCCATGAGGAGAGGCTGAGGGAGCTGGGGGTGTTCAGCCTGGAGAAGAGGAGGCTCAGGGGAGACCTTCTCACCCTCCACAACTCCCTGACAGGAGGGTGGAGTCAGGTGGGGGTTGGTCTCTTCTCCCAGGCAACCAGCAGGAGGACAAGAGGGCACAGACTCAAGCTCTGCCAGGGGAGGTTTAGATTGGATATTAGGAAGAGGTTTTTTTATGGAGGGAGTAATCAGGCATTGGAATGGGCCGCCCAGGGAGGTGGAGGACTCACTGTCCCTGGAGGTTTTTAAGATGTGGTACTTAGTGCCATAATCTAGTAACCATGGTAGGGTTGGACTGGATGATCTTGGAGGTCTTTTCCAACTCGGTTGATTCTATGATTCCAGGATTATGCTTCTGCCATTAACTCCACAACTCACATTACTGCCTTTGTCTCACTGGGGCCATGGGTTTGAGTCTTTCCCTTTAGTTACCTAGCCACTGTCTTCTTTCAGATAGCTATTTTTACCATAATCATAATAAGTAGTTAGCAACTCTATCCTTGTGTCAGACATGGTTGAAATTGGCCCAAAGGTTCAAAAATAATTAGAAGAAAGAATTGGTAGGTGAATGGACAGAACCAATAGAGAGTGACTGCTGCTGTCCATCACCATACATTGAGAACACTGGAACACTGCACACAGTTCTGGTGTCCTCAACATAAGAAGGACATGGAACTGTTGGAACAAGTCCAGAGGAGGCCACAAAGTTGCTAAGAGGACTGGAGCATCTCCCCTACGAAGACAGGCTGAGGGAGTTGGGGCTGTTCAGCCTGGAAAAGAGAAGACTGCGTGGAGACCTCAGAGCAACTTTTCAGTACCTGAAGGGCCTACAAGTGAGCTGGAGAGGGACTCTGTTGGGAACTGCAGTTATAGAACAAAGGGCAACAGGTTCAAACTGAAGGAGGGAAGGTCTAGGTTGGATGTGAGAAAAAAGTTTTTTCCTGTGAGGGTGGTGAGACACTGGCACAGGGGGCGCAGGGACTTGGTGGCTGCCCCAACCTTGGCAGTGTTCAAGGCCAGGTTGGATGAAGCCTTGAGCAACCTGATCTAGTGAGGAGGTGTCCCTGCCCAAGGCAGGGGTTTTGGATTAGATGATCTGTAAGGTCCATTCCAACCCTTAAATTCTATTCCATGATTTTCTTGTATTTTCTTGTATTTTCTGGGTATTTATTTTCCATATTCTCCAAAACAAAAGCTCCCTGAAATCCCTGAAAGTTTGTCTTTCCATTTACCCTACTAAAAGATAAAAAAGGTGTGGTTTGGGAACATATCACATAAGCTAAATTTTCATTTCCCAGACCGCTGACATTAAGTTTCGTGTTAATTTTCTCATATATGTTCATCATATTCTTTGATCTATGTTTATTCCCCTCAGAGAGGAAATACTTTCAAAACAGATACAGCCAAAGAGTAAGAACTGTTAGAACAGGTTTGTGTTACCCTTAAAAAGTATTGCTTGAAACCACCTGCAAAGACAAGTGTTTTGACACAAAGCCTGCAAAATATTTCCGATTTTCAGGTATTTTCAGCATTAATTTGCAGAACCTCCATGCTTCAAGAGGCATAAAAATGGGGTAAACTTTACTGACATATCAGTTATTATGCAGGAACTCCTGAAATATAAGTGCTTAGAAGATATCTCACAACGTTTTGTCTAAGCATGCAAAGCAAACAGACAGGAAAAGGGCTCTATCTGGTAAGAGCACCGTAGTTCATTTCTGTTGCATGTTCAGAAGCATATAATTGGTTAAGGTATTATCTTTTTTTTCAGCACAAAATTAACTCATCTACTTGCAAATTGCAATTCCTGAGCCAAATTGAACATGCTGTGATGCTGTAAGAGGATTTTCAAATTTTAACCATAGCACAATCATCAACTTGAGCATCTAGACTGAAGCACAGCAACACTTGGGCTTAGTTACTTCACTCAGAACTAGAGAACATCAAACAGACATCTAAATCTCCAGTAGTTTGTAAACAAAAGAACCCCACCAAATCATTTATTTATTTTTAAAAAGCAGAGATCATAGAATCATAGAATCAACCAGGTTGGAAAAGACCTCCAAGATCATCAAGTCCAACCCTACAGTGCTTACTAGATCATGGCACTAAGTGTCACATCCAGTCTCACTTTAAAAACCTTCAGGGATGGTGAATCCACCACCTCCCTGGGCAGACCATTCCAAGGCCTGATCACTCTCTCTGTAAAACACCTCTTCCTAATATCCAACCTAAACCTCCCCTGGCAGAGCTTGAGTCTGTGCCCTCTTGTCCTCCTGCTGGTTGCCTGGGAGAAGAGACCAACCCCCACCTGACTCCAACCTCCTTTCAGGGAGTTGCAGAGGGTGAGAAGGTCTCCCCTGAGCCTCCTCTTCTCCAGGCTGAACAACCCCAGCTCCCTCAGCCTCTCCTCATGAGAGTTGTGCTCAAGTCCCTTCACCAGCCTTGTTGCTCTTCTCTGCTCCTGCTCCAGCACCTCAATATCCCTCCTGAACTGAGGCGCCCAGAACTGAGCACAGTATTCAAGGTATAGCCTCACCAGACACACAGGGTGCAGATAAAATTTAACACATCCAACCACTGAATTAAAAATCATTATTCACCTCAAGAAATGTGTTTAACAGTGGGAAAACGGAAAAGCAGTCGTGAAATACTTCTGACCACCAGCAGTAAAGCTAACTATAAATGCCGCTTAAGAAATTGTTTCAATATATTGGGCAAACATTTGTAGCTATTGTTAATAGGGTTAGGAACCTTTGAGGCTGCTCAAATTCAAGACCAATATATTTTCAACTGGTTTCACACTGTGACACATGATGAAAGTAACTTGTCTCTCTTTTAAGACTATGCAAATCATCTAGAGAGGACCTGGCTGAAAGCTACCTGCTGGTGCACACAGCCTAACACCTGAGATCTTTGCAGTGCATACTGCTGAGGTGCTCAAGGTATGGCAAGTAGCCCTGAAAAAAAACAGTGACAGCTTGAAATCCTGGGCGAATTTACACTGTCCTCAAATTTTGGCTGGACACATTCCCAACAGGATAGAATATTTCCTTCAGGTTTCCCTGTTGGGTTTTGGGGTTTTTTTTTCAGGTTCTCTATGCCATAGGAGCAACAAACTTAAAGATGAGAGACAATAAAAAGGGAAAACCTACAGCTCTTTTCACCACTTAAGCTTACAAATGAGAACTCCAAGGTCAAGGAAGCACTGGTAGAGAAAACTTCCTGTAAAGCTAATATTTAAAAAGCCATCTGTCAAGTGACATAACACACCTTTTCTGTCAGCAGATGAGTGTCAACAGATGTGCTTTTTTAGCTGAAGGACTTCCTAAACCCCGTTTTACTACACTGTACTGACCAGCAATATCAAAAGGTGCCAGTAGAATTATGAAACTCAGGAGAAGCTAATCTAACAGCAAAAAAAAAATAAATCACCAACCTACAATTTCCTTTTCCAGGAGGTGGACCATAAAATAGGCCCACTCTGCATCCTCTACACAGAACAGATTTTCTCTATATTTTCCAATAGAAATGCCTCTATCCCTAGAGTTTTGAGTCAAGCATCCCTCTTGCTGTCCCTGCCTCCTGGAAAGACTCTCTCCCTGCCTGCTCCAATAGCCTCAACTTTTTCTCTGTTCCACCTGCCTAATTCTTCAAGGATCTTTGGACCCGTAAACATGAAACATTGAGAGAGTCATTATCCCCAAAACCCCTATCCATTGTCGGTAGCAAGTCTAGAATAAGTGAGTCTACAGAGAAAATCCAGAAGTATTCTGGTACTGTATTGGAGTAGAAACAGAAGTCTATGAGGAAACAGTAAGAAACAATGACCAGACAGATCCTGGCTCTTGTAATCAAGGGATGCCATCCAGGAAAGCAGTATCACTGGTTTGGGTGCACTTGCCTAAAAAGGAAAAAAAACCCTCTTCTCTCAGGAAGTAAATCCAGAGGGTTACTGAAAAAGGACAACTATAAGAGAAGTTACAGATGTAAAGCAGAAAAAAGCTGAAGATCAACATGTCTTTTCTAAGTCTCCTAGGTATCTAGAAATCAAAATGGAAACACCCAAAAGTTAGATGCAAATACTTGCAATCTTGAATGAGTACAAAGGCAAGGAAACATAAAGGCTGAAGTGTAAAAATTCATTTAATCTTAGCAAGGAACGCAAGTGGCAACACAGAAATGCTTCATGTTAAGGGTAAGAAGAAAGAAAATACAGGACCCTAATGAGAAGGAAGAGCAAACAACATAGAATCATAGAATCATAGAATTTAAGGGTTGGAATGGACCTTACAGATCATCCATTCCCAAACCCCTGCCATGGGCAGGGACACCTCCTCACTAGATCAGGTTGCTCAAGGCTCATCCAGCCTGGCCTTGAACACTGCCAGGGTCAGGGCAGTCCATAACTGCCAGTCTCACCACCCTCACAGGGAAAAACTTTTTTCTAATATCTAACCTAAACTCCAGTCCTCTTTGGGGCTTTGTGGCCTCCTCTGGACTTGCTCCAACAGTTCCATGTCCTTATGTTGAGGCCACCAGAACTGCAGGCAGTATTCCAGATGGGCAGAATCACCTCTTTTGATTGTTCTACATGTTCTACTGAAGATTTAAACAATCAGTTCCTTTTGTCTACTGCTCACAAACTGATACGTGCTAGGGCCTGGGGGTAAGTTAAATGTAGTGCATTCTTAGAGATCTAGATGAACAATCTGTGAATGATTAGTGATCATTCTTGCTAACTGATTATCTTGGAGGTTAGAGAAATACCTGAGGGCTGTAATGGAGAAAACAGAAAATCTGTTTTGAAAGCGGGTGAAAGAGGATGATACAGAGAATCTGTTTATCAGTGAGATTTATATTCCTACGTAAGAATTAGAACAAAGGATCAAAAGGACAATTTGTAAGCATCCAGAAGAAATGGAAGCTGTAAAACAAGAGCTAACAGTAATTTGCCAGAAACATTCTTCTGTCAAACCAATACAATTTCTTCCTGCAACTGAACAGCTTTGCCTATATAGTTGCAGCAATAGATACACAAACACTCAGCCACAGTGAAGCTTATCAAAATGTTATGGTGCTATCCACTGCTGCACTTCCATTAGCAATTTCGGAAAATTAATTATATCAGGGCAACATGGTTCAAAATGAAAACTCAGTGAACATATTAACATCTTATTATCAAGGTGGAAAACAGGTGGACATAATGAATGCAATTCGCAGCTTAGGAAACAGAACAGAGCACACCCATATGGAATTTGCAAAGGCCAACTGAAGTAGAAACAGAAACATCTTGGCAATTGGAGAAATGGGTTCAAAAATTAAAGTACATAAAAGTGCAAATGAATGCAAAAAATCAAATGGAGAAATACAAAAAGGCAGAAATATAGTAGGACCAGATCTGGTGATTACAGTTCTTGCAAACCAAGTAGGTATCAACTCTGTGCTACTGTAATAGGAAAGAAAAACATTTTCCCAATGCACCAATCTAATAAGAGATGAACTGTTACAAAATTTGCTTTGTTTCAATCATTAGGAAATAGAATAGAACTTCAGGACCAAGTTTTCACAAATACATTCTTGCATACCTGGAAATTGCATACTAAGAGTGGGAAACAGCACACATTTTTCTTGATAACTTTATCCCCTTGCCTGTAGCATCCTTGTTAGTGTATCTACATACATTACATGGCAAATTACTTATTTGAAAATCCTCCCAAAAAAATCCTTTGAGATAAAATTTCATCTACATTTCCCCAACCGTAACCACTCCAACATAATATTTGATAATTTAATATTTGAATAAGTTACTTCATTATTTACACTTTCCGTTTCTGAATGCACACTCTAAGTTCCTCCTTCTCACATGTTTCTGTCATGTTTCAATGATTATAGTAAAAGCAGGAACACTTACGCGTTCACATAAACAGCTGTTGACATCAAAATCAAGGCTCGAAATTAATCAATCAGATACTAATTAGCACAAGAGAAATGTACTGTAATAGACATTCCTAAAGGTATATCAATTGGTACATAGAAGCCAATAACCCTGTCAGAGTCTTACCATTTATTACAGGGGTATAAACAACAATTCCAGCTAAGTTCGGATCAGATACAGTTGTGTCCAGAATAAGGCCACCAATGCTGAAAAACAAAGTGCAATGTTTAGAATGAGGCAAGCAGGAACTTTAATTAGCATTTTAAAATGTTATAACAATCTGTCTTAGAACAAGGACATGGTGGCTGCCCTGACCCTGGTGAAGTTCAAGGCCAGGCTGGATGAAGCCTTGAGCAACTTGATCTAGTGAGGAGGTGTCCCTGCCCAGGGCAGGGCATTGGGACTAGATGATCTGTAAGGTCCATTCCAACCCTAAAATTCTATGAACCGATGATCTTCAAGCCACAATTTTCCTCTCAATTCATTTTTCCCTTGCCCTGTTACCTCATTCTGAGCTACACATTAACACCACTATAGTTATTCACACATTAAAATCCACTTCTTGTCTAACAAAGACCACATAACCTCAGCCACTTACTCTGCTTTTAAGATTCATAACTTTCATTGGATTGACTAATCCCTAAAATCAGTGCACAGTCTCGATTGGAAGCTGCAAGAGATGAGTAGCTCACCACTTCCCTCGTTTGATACGGCATTGACACTTGTCAGTCACTTCGGCAAATACAGCAACACATCAGTGCTTGCACCAGCTACTGCTGGCTCCTCTCTCTTTCCCATCTGGAACTTGACTTTGTAACTTCCTCATTTTGGGAAGACTAAAGTTTATTCACACGCTAAATTCTAGAGGCTCCTGAAAAGTTTCTTTCATGTATATCTGGGTGTTTAGTAAGACACACAGTGATACAGGATGACTTCAGCCTGAAGAAGAGAAGACTGCATGGAGACCTCAGAGCAACTTTTCATTATCTGAAGGACCTACAAGGGAACTGGAGGGGGACTCCATGTTAGGAACTGCAGTGATAGGATAAGGGGTAATGGGTTCAAATTGAAGGAGGGGAAGTCTAGGTTAGACGTGAGGAAAAGGTTTTTTCCTGTGAGGGTGGTGAGACACTGGCACAGGTTGCCCAGGGATGTGGTGGCTGCCCCGACCCTGGCAGTGTTCAAGGCCAGGCTGGATGAGGCCTTGAGCAACCTGATCTAGTGAGGAGGTGTCCCTGCCCAGGGCAGGGGGTTGGGACTAGATGATCTGTAAGGTCCATTCCAACCCCTAAACTCTATGATTCTACACTTCTCTGAAGCAAGACAAACAGACTTACCTGCTGATAATCATGGCAGTTATAACAGGCTCCCATCCTGAGTGGAGGACAGTTCTGGTAGCTGGGTGTTTGGCAGCTATGACAATCCCCATCGGAGTCAGAGCCAAGAAAAAGGCACCAACCAAAGGAGATACATAGTAATATGTCTCTAAAATAGTAATAAAAAAAAAACCCAAACATGTTATACTTTTGAGACATTCCTATATATTTTTCCTAATTTAAAACTCTGCAAAAAATTCTAATTTATATGATACAATTGAGAAATGTTAACAGACTTTATCACTACGGTACCTAAAGTTTCAAGTACGGCACTGAATGATCTCAAGGACAGAACTATCTATACAAAGAAGGAGTTTTGAAGAGGATTTTTGTGCAATGCTTCATGATAAAAATGCAATAAAGATACAGAATATAAAATGTTATTTTGTAACTTATCCAAAAAAACCCACAACAAAACAAACAAACCAGAAACTGAATATACTGAAAATGCACTTTGTTTATACACAAATTCATGGCATATGTACACCCTCTTCTTTCCAAAGCACAGATATAACAGTAATCTGCACAGAAATAGCATGTCTGAAATGATGCAAGCACAATGTGCAATATTGAGACATTTACATCAGTAGCTCAACTGTTTTTGAACCAGTCAGAGACTGAAAATTCACAGACAATTCTGCTGCTTGCGCCTACCCATGAGAATTGTATCCTATTACACAGGCTGCAAATACCAGTGAGTACCATCACAAAGCTGAGCTGATAAGGCAAACAGTTGCCTTCACAGAGAGAATACTGGGGTTTTTTCGGTTTACTTGGTTTTATAGTCCCATCCACACAGAAACTACTACAGTGATCCAAGACAGTGAGGGAGGTGAAAGATCCAGATTCAGTCTTGGGTAGACAGAAAAAAACATGATGCTTTGCTTGACCAGCAGTGAGGAGAAAGACTTGGGAGTGACAGTGGGTGAGAAGCTCACCATGAGCTGCAGTATGAGCTCAGCCCAGAAACCAATGGAATCCTGGGCTGCATCCAAAGGAGGGTGGGCAGCAGGTCAAAAGAGGTGATTCTTCCCCTCTGCTCTCATGAGACCCACCTGGAATACTGCACACAGTTCTGGTGCCCTCAACATAAGAAGGACTTGGAGGCCCAGAGGAGGCCATGAGGTTGCTAGGAGGGCTGGGAGCAACTCCCTTATGAGTACAGGCTGAGGAATTTGAGCTGTTCAGGCTGGAGAAGAGAAGGTTGTGTGGAGACCCCAGAGCACCTGCCAGGATCTGAAGGGGCTCCAGGGAAGACGCAGAGGGACTCTGTGTTAGGAGGTGCAGTGACAGGACAAGGGGCAATGGGTGCAAATTGAATGAGAGGAAATTTATATTAGGAAAAGTTTTTTGCCTGTGAGGGTGGTGAGACACTGGCACAAGTTGCCCAGGGAGGCTGTGGCTACCCCAGCCCTGGCAGTGTTCAAAGCCAGGTTGGATGAAGCCTTGAGCAACCTGCTCTGTTGGGAGGTGTGCCTGCCCATGGCAGGGGTTTGGGACTGGATGATCTCAAAGATCCATTCCAACCCCTAAAATTCTATGACTCTATGAGGACTTCCTAATTCAACAGTGAGGTGAATGATGGAAAATTTATCCTGATGGCAAATATAGATATTTATATCTATAAACTGTGCAAACATTCCTCTTTGACACATAGTTAGCTTTATGAGAAATGTGGCCACATACTTAATGTTTAAATACATTTTCTCTGAAACTTCAGAATTCAGACAAGTCTTAATGGAAAATGTATTTTAAATTACCAGGTTGAACTAGTTAATTTAGAACACACAAACACTTTACCAAAGAGGAATATTTGGCCTATGAAAAGCATTCTCACCCAGGTACTGTGACTTACGACAAAGGCCGCAAACTCAAGCAGTTACTACTTTGATGTTGTTTTAGTGGAGCTGAAACTACTCCTGGAAAAATTGCTGTAGAATTTTTAGAAGTTACTATCCCTCATTGACTGGTAGCGACCTCTGCAGCAGAGCCAGCAGAAAAGACAGCAAGATATGTTGCCCTGGGTAAACTAAAAGTAGAAAGCTATTAGAATAAGGGCAAGACAAAGCCCCAAAGAGAAGTAATTTTTCCTTTCCTTATCTAATTATTCTATAGTATATTATCTCCCTCTTCTCTGTGGTGCCTTTTTTCCTCCTTTCTCTGTGATCTCAGAGGTGAGCCTGAAGAACAAAGATCTTGCGCAAAAGAGGACACACAATACAATACTCCTCTATTTGATAATCATACTTTTGTTTTGTCAAACTTAATGCAAAAGACAAAAATGTACTGATGGAAAGTTCTTGAACTCCTTACTACAAGTAAATCCATCCTTTCCCACGCTTGGAATGAAGAAAATTCCCTGTGTGCACTAAAATTGGTCACAGGAAAGTTATTGTTCATTCTACATCTTTTTTTTTATTTATTTGGAGACCTCTCCTTTTCCCCTCTCTTCTCCCTGTCCCCAGACATAAATCATACTGTATCCCTGCTGCTTTTTCTTTCTCCCTCTCTGTCTGCTCCATTCACACACAACTAAGGTGAGGCATTAGCAAGTACCAGATGCCCAGGAACTGATTTAAAGTTCAGAATGAGAAAATAGTTCTAATACAGTATATTTAGTCAAACATAAAAGGGCACAAAATAATTTCCCCTCCTTCAATTTGTACCCATTGCCTCTTGTCCTGTCACAAGTTCCTAACACAGAGTCCCTCTCATGACTTCCCTGTAGGCCGGAGATATGAGAGATAAAGGTATATATTTAAACCACATTCTGTGAGGAAAACAAAAGGAAAGCTTTAAATGAAGTCTTCAGATCATTGCTGACAAACAACAGGCAGCATGGACCGTCACATTTAATACACTGGGTGTTATTCCAGAGCATTCCTAGTGTTCCGCTCGAGGAAAGGTGTCAAGACGCAGCGACGATCCTGGGGAGCCCTCTAGTGCTTTCCCCAGCTATATAAGGATTCCCAGACACAGCTCCTTTCAAGGAGTTCTTAAAAACTGTTAACCTTTTACTGCTTAAATCCCCGAGTTTGGTAGCTCTGCCGTTACTTTTAAAGCACACAGATGAAATGTTAAGAAATTCTATAGATGATGATGGTCAAACAAGATTGGCCATCATCGAGTTTGGATCTAGCCTAAGTAAAAATGCTACAGTCCTTTTCTCTGCCTCTTCTGGGCATGCCATGAAGCATTGGATCAAACTTTGCTGGGTTTAGATGGGGTAGAGGCAGATTTCTTCACAGTGGCTGGTATGGGGCTGTGTTTTGGATTTGTATGATCACAGGGTTGATAATGCAGAGATGTTTTCGTTGTTGCTGAGCAAAGTTAACAGAGCCAAGGCCTTTGCTGCTTCCCATACTGCCGCACTGGCAAGGATGTTGGGGGTGCATGGGAAAGTGGGAGGAGACACAGCTGGGACAGGTGACCCAAACTGACCAAAGGGATATTCCATACCATAGGACATCATGCTCATTATGCTCATATAAAGAAAAAGGTTTTTTACTCTAAGGGTGCTGAGACACTGGCACAGGTTGCCCAGGGACGTGGTGGCTGCCCTGACCCTGGCAGTGTTCAAGGCCAGGCTGGATGAAGCCTTGAGCAACCTGATCTAGTGAGGAGGTGTCCCTGCCCATGGCAGGGGGTTAGGAATAGATGACCTGTAAGGTCCATTCCAACCTCTAAATTCTATGATTCATGGGGGAGATGAAGAAACAGGAAGAAAAACAGTTGCTCATTCTCATTTTCCAAGATCTCCTCCCTTGTGACGATCAAGCATTTCATTACATTAGTCACTGTTTGAGCTTTCTTCAATAATAACTAAATTTATTATTATATATAATAACTATATATCCCTTTTAACAGACATTGTGATCATGAATCTTCATCAGTGCTCTGCTCCCTTCCTTTACAAAAGTAGGATTTAGACACTACAGGTCCCAGAAATCAGAGAGAGAAGTTTCAATGGGAGTAGATAAACATGCAAATAACTAGCAGTAGAGAATTGCAGGCTGAAGTGAAAAGTCATTCGTAAGAATAGTTAGTCTGGAGCTGTTTGTGTGTAGTTCACTCATTCAGAGCTATTAGTGGGAAAGTAAGTGAAGAGTATTAGTGGGAAAGCAAGCAGTAAAAACTGTCATGAAGAAGCCAGAGAGAATTCATGCCTGAAATGGGATTAGATCACTGCCCTCTGTGGTCAGCAGTCAGTGAAGACCTCCCCTCTGCTGCTGAGCTATTCAGAGGGGTTATATATATTTTCATCTTTCATAGCAGAACTGCTGTTCTGAAAAAAAGCTACTGCTAAATGCCCCAAACCTGCCAGTGTTCAAAGCCAGATTGGATAAAGCCTTGAGCAACCTGTTCTGGTGGGAGGTGTCCCTGCCCAAGGACAGGGGATTGGAGCTAGATGATCTCTAAGGTCCATTCCAACCCCTAAAATTCTATGATTCTAAATAAGTAGGATTATGTTTGAAATATATTCACCAAATTTCTAAGACAAAGCAAAACAAACAAAGCAGAAGACAGGAGGGACATGATTTGGAGGAGCTGGAAGTGGTTACTTGATTTAGTGAAAAGCAGAAGGAAACAGTGGTAAAATCAAGCACAAGTGCAGGGAACAGGAGGGAGACATGCAAGTGCCACACTGTGAGGGAAACAATAGGAGAGAGCTGAGGAAACTGGTACTGGAAGCTGGACTAGGGGAGATGAGGAAAAAAGAAGGTATTGCAGTGGGAGCTGGAAAGCACTTCGACAGAATCAAAAGGAAAGTCACAATAGTCTTTGCACAACTCATTTAAATGTCGTATCAATCACAAATCACAAACCTCTCTAAAATTAGGCTTCATTTCTTTGAATACATACTTCATGTATGTTCAACATGCTATTGTTACCGAAATGACTTCAATTGCTTTGATTTTGATTTCTGGCTTAGCTGCAGCTCAAGAGATATTTGAATGCTCTTCGAACCACACCCTAACAAAAAAAACTTCCCAAAGCAGAACTGCTCTCCAAGCAGATTTAACTCCTTCCCCTCGCTTCAAGGGGAGAAAAATTCAATGGGACTTTGGGAAGCAAATATTTGATTTAGAGGTGGGCATTCCAGAAAGCATTCCTGGATGAAGAGAGCTCCCCCCGCCCCAGGCAAGCAGAGTTAATTCAGCAAATACAGTTGGGAATTCGTGTGTAGACTGACTGTGACACTGTCAAAGTCTTTCAGATGTTCCTACACTGTGTCAAGGTTCAGGTTAGTGAAGAACCAAAATCATGGTGTAATGTTGCACTCTAAGATTTATCATTTAAGGGTATATATGGTGACTAAAGAGTCAGTCAAATGAAAAGGTTTGTTGAATCTCACCCTCCCTGCCTTCTCCCCACGATCCAAACCTGAAAGAGATTCCTGGGAGTCATCCACACTTACAAACATACTTACCAAGGCAAGTGTAAAGACCCTGACTTATCCATGCCAGTATAGCGAGAGTGATCAGATCTCCAAAACTTGCTGCTATGGGAGTGGCAACGTTGTCAGGATTAATGCCAGTTTTCTTAGATCCAACAATAACTCCAACCATTATAATTCCTAAATTCAACAGAGAAGACAATACAGTAACATCCACTGCTGTACTTCCACAAAAATGCCAAGCCGGGGGCAATTTCAAATGGAATAAGTAAAAAGTCAGTGCTCTTGTCCTAGGATGATTGTATTTCCCTCCTGACTGAGGTCTGTATTTTGAAGTTTTAGCCATTTTTAAGAAAATGAAGTAATGTATTTTTTAAATATTCAGAGAGCAGACAAAAAATAATCAAGAACTATGTGTACAATGAAGTACTTTGCTTATGACTAGAAGCAATAGTATTGAAACTTTAAAGCAGACACTTTCTGAAGACAAAAAATACGCAGTGTTTTATTTCCAGACCCTAATAACTTTCCCTGACTGAAAATTAAACTGGACTTACCATCAAACACCAAGAAAGTACATCATACAACCACAAATTGAAAACAAGACAATATATGAAAATGTTACTTGTACACAGTTAAAAAATTTAAAGATTATAGAATCAAATAATCAAATGGGTTCAAAATCCAAGATCAGATCATCAAGCCCAACCCTACCGTGGTTACTAGACCATGGCACTAAGTGCCACATCCAGTCTCAGCTTGAAAACCTCCAGGGATGGTGAATCCACCACCTCCCTGGGCAGACCATTCCAATCCCTGATCACTCCCTCCATAAAAAAATCTCTTCCTAATACCTAACCTAAACCTGCCCTGGCAGAGCTTGAGTCTGTGCCCTCTTGTCCTCCTGCTGGTTGCCTGGAAGAAGAGACCAACCCCCACCTGACTCCAACCTCCTTTCAGGGAGTTGTAGAGGGTGATAAGATATAAGATGTTGGTTTCTCTTTTTTTCCTATAAACAGCAACACTAACTTTTGAACATTCATTTCCCTGCAGAATGCAAGTGGCTACTAAAAATAAAATTCACAGTGTCATTAAGTCTTTGGCACAACCTGAGTAACTTTTCTCTTATTATCTAGAGGAGGCCACGAAGTTGATAAGAGGACTGGAGCATCTCCCCATGAGGACAGGCTGAGGGAGTTGGGGCTGTTCAGCATGGGGAAGAGAAGACTGCATGGAGACCTCAGAGCAACTTTTCAAGATCTGAAGGGCCTACAAGGGAGCTGGAGAGGGACTGATTGTTAGGAACTGCAATGACAGGACAAGGGGTAATGGATTCAAACCAAAGGAGGAAAAGTCTAGGTTGGATGTGAGAAGAAAGGTTTTCCTGTGAGGGTGGTGAGACACTGGCACAGGTTGCCCAGGGACGTGGTGGCTGCCCCAACCCTGGCAGTGTTCAAGGCCAGGCTGGATGAGGCCTTGAGCAACCTGATCTAGTGAGGAGGTGTCCCAGCCCAGGGCAGGGGGTTGGGACTAGATGATCGGTAAGGTCCATTCCAACCCCTGAAATTCTATGATTCTATGATCTAGATTTTTAAGGAATAGCAACACAATACACATTCAGCATCCAGAGAAACTCAATGACTGTGAGAAGCAACCCATACACTCCTTTCACCTTGTAAAAGAGAAGCTATGAAAGCAGTTGCGACACTGCTAGAACACAAAAGGACTGAGTGATCAAAGCGGTATTTGCCCTCTGGAATCCAGCCCAGTATAACTGCTGCCACTGCTGCCAGAAAACCAACTACTGTTGCCTGAACCTGGAAAAGAAAAAGAAGGTGACCAATTGAATAACTGACAGACTTAGGAGGACTACAGAAACATTTTCTCCTACTCTTTCCTCCTATCTACATGTATATGCAAGGTATAAAAAAAAGGAGAATGCTCATCCATTTTGTAGAGGTGATGCCAACCTTCGATGATAAATAAGAAAAATCTTAGGCAGCAGAAAAGGCTTTACCAGCGTTTTAGAGACTCCAGAATAGCAAAAAGTAAAATCTAGGAAAGGAGCTCAGGATTTATGAGAAGCCAATGCCTAAAGCAGTTTCTAAGCCACTCGAAACAATGAAGTCACAGCTTAAATACTTCACCTATTTTTTAAGCATGAACAAGAAATAGTTCTCAGTCTCATAAACAGTTGCTTTGAAGAACAAGCACTCCTTTCCTCAATGGCCCAGCCATTTAAAATATGCTTTATTAGCCAAAAGCTCGATCACATCCTTCCTTTAAACACTGAATCCAATGCAAATACAGCAACAGAAATATTTGAAAGGTCAAATGTAGAAGTTTTTGCAAGATCTGAAATTTTTCTCTAATCATGCTCAGATCCTCCCTGTCAGAAACAAATCAGAAGGAAATACCCTTGGGGCAGTCACAGAGAATATTTTACCTCTTCTGATAAATATGAGCTCAGATTTGTTTTAGAGAACTACACTGTACAAAAAAGCCCTCATCAAACACTGTGCATTAAGTATGAGCCATGTAGCAGAGCTAGTTTCCCATTCACACTCCCCATCTTCATACTCACCAGTGTCTGTGATGTGACTTTTCCAATAACTTTGCTCACTTACAGGCAAATAAATCCATTATAGTTACCTGTTTTAAGGCCAAATTGCCAATTATTAGGTTCCATTTCTCAATGGGAGAATCCATTTTTCCAATATTTACCTATCAAAAGCACAAAAGAAACTCAGACATTTGATTTTAAAGTTGCATCTCTTGAAAATGCACTAACAAGGCAGAAACCCACAAATAATTCAGCTAACACAATTATGCTGGTTTGGGCTGGAGTTAACTTTCTGCACAGTGGATACTATGGGGCTATATTTAGGATTTGTGCTGAACACAGGTTTGATAATGCAGAGATGTTTTTGTTGTTGCTGAGCAGAGCTCACACAGAGCCAAGGCCTTTGCTGCTTTCTGTACTGCCACACTGGCAAGGAAGTTGGGGATGCATGGGAGACTGGGAGGAGACACAGCTGGGACAGGTGACCCAAACTGACCAAAGGGATATTCCGTAACATAGGACATCATGCTCAGTATATAAAGTGGGAGGAAGGGAGGACATTTGGAGTGATGGCATTTGTCCTCCCAAGGAACTGTTACGGGTGATGGGCCCTGCTCTCCTGGAGATGGCTGAACACCTCCTGCTCGTGGGGAGCAGTGAATTAATTCCTTGTTTTACTTTGCTTGAGTGTGCAGCTTTTGCTTTCTCTATTAAACTGTCTTTATCTCAACCCATGAGTTTTTCTAGCTTTTACCCTTCTGATTCTCTCCCCCATCCCATCAGTGGGGGAGTGTGTGAGTGGCTGCGTGGGGTTTGGTTGCTTCCTGTGGTTAAACCACAACAACAATAAACCAGACACTTTGATTACAAACAAGCTACATATTTTCAAGTCAGGCATTGCTTTTCATTTTAAATTGTACTTACACTAGCTTTCCAAATACAGTTAAACATGCTACAGTTTTACATAGCAACTTGTTTAACATTAGATTACTCTGCAAGATACACTAGTCACCTTACATTCCAGAATGTACAAGCACCACCAGTGATCAGATCAGTGGCTGGAAAATCACTATAGACAGAACTTGTGCCTGTGGTCCTTAAGTTCTGAAAATAAAATAGTCTAAATTCTAATACTGTTCAGCATTCTAACTTTTCGTTTGTACAACACACTATTGACTCTTGGTGCTGTAAACTATCTAAACCTCGTCCTAAGATAGTAGCTGGAAAGACAATTAAATCATTTTAAGGAATTATAAAGTACATACACACTCTTTTATAACGTATTGCCTACTGATCCTTTTGAGAAGAATGCTACAGAGGGACTTGGGACAAGGGATGGAGGGACAGGACAAGGGGGAATGGCTTTAAAGGGCTAGATATGATATTGGGAAGTCATTGTTGGCTGTGAGGGGGGTGAAACACTGGCACAGGTTGCCCAGGGAGCCTGGGGCTGCCCCAGCCCCGGCAGTGTTCACAGCCAGGTTGGACGAAGCCTTGAGCAACCTGCTCTGGTGGGAGGTGTCCCTGCCCAGGGCAGGGAGTTGGGACAAGATGGTCCATTCCAACCCCTATGGTCCATTCCAACCCCTAAATTCTATGATTCTATAAAGTAAAGGTTGCATGTGTGGAGAAGAGGATCATCTTTTTCACTTGTCCAACTTAATAAGAGATTTAGAGAGCTCTATAACAGCCACAGTGGGCCACAAACATAAAACACTTGTGTCCCAAAAATGTGTTTCCCTTTTGAAATATTGACAACATGTATCTGAAGAGCAAAGGGGAAGAGAATGTTACTTACAGCAGTTGACAGCCTGGATGCCAAGGTCATTTCCAAATTTCCTTTGAGACCAAGAAGTGCAGGAACCAAGATAAAGACTTCAGTAACATTCTTGAAGACATCCCAGTGCTATATAAAGGATAGAGTGGAAAACATTCCATTGAAAACTTCTATTTACACCATCTAAAGTATTATAAAAATTCTGTACATCATAACTCTATCCTCTAAACCAAAAATTTGGTTTTAGTATTAAATCTAAAAGTCTAAAGTCAGAACTGTTACCTATTTGGATAAAACAGATTTATGGCTGCATATTATTACTTCAAAGATGAGAGGTCTATCAGTAAGAGATACAACACTTAGCCTTGAAACACACTGAGTTTTAAAAAGTTGTCATTAATTTGAAGTTTGTTTTTTCATTCCTTCAAAATAGATTCAACAATATTATCATCTTTTCCCTTCCAGATATGTAGAAACCTCACAGAGGGAATTAATTGTACTATGAACAGAGACCGTAAATAGAAAAACTTGTCTTTATTCTTTCACCTCTGAGTGTGAAATTTATGCGAGTAGTTTTCCAAAACGCAGACTTATTTTACAGAAAACTCTCTTTTAATTGTTGCTGCACTGAGTTTTCAGTGCTGAAATTCTGTGCTACTTCCTGTGTCTTGTCAACCTCTTCATTTTTCACCATTTACCAATGTTAAACTAAAAGAACTATGAATTGTCTTTGTATTCAGCAATTCACAATCACTTAAATTATTATTTTAATGAAAAGAAAAGGATTCAATTCTCAAATATAAGGTCTGAGAATCACCTGTATGTGAAGTTACATATGCATTTACTCCTGGGAAAAAATTAGTAAGAAATGACATGTAAAAAACAATGCTTTGTTGTCTTCACATTTGCGCATCTTCAAAACACGTTCTGCCACATTTCAAAATCCTGCTCTAGTGGCAAAGTATACTGCTTACTTGAGGTGAAAATAGGTAGTAATGGCATTAGCTATTTGCTTTTACCTCCTGTCACATCTCTCTCAGTCATGAGAAGTTGGACTGGAAAACAATACAGATTAAAAGTAATATAGAACAAAAAACCAAGATATATCTCAGTCCAACTCAAAAATTAGGTATAAACCCACATTTCCTTAGGGGAAGGATGACAAGGTGAAACATTTGGTTGGAAGCCAGTAGGCACAAGGACATCTTCAGTGGGAGCCAATAGTATGCACAAGTGGCCAAGGAGGCCAAGGGCATCTTGGTCTGGCTCAAGCACAGTGTAGCAGCAGAATTAGGGCAGTGCTCATCCCCCTGGACTCAGCACTGGGGAGGTCACAGCTCAGTGCTGTGCTCAGCTTTGGCCACTCACTGCCAAAAGGCCATAGAGGCACTAGAGTGAGTCCAGCCAAGGGCAATGAGGGCAGCAAAGGGCTAGAGCACATGGGGAAGGGCTGAGGGAGCTGGGCTTGGTTAGCCTGGAGAAGAGGCTCAGGGGTGATCTCATGGCTCTCTCCAACTCCCTGACAGGGCTGGAGAGAGGTGGGGGATGTCTGTCCTGCCATGGCTGCAGGGAGAGGAGTAGAGGGAATGGCCTTGAGCTGAGACAGGGCAAAGTCAGATTGGATGTTAGAAGAAATGTTTTCCCTGTGAGAGTGTTCAGGCACTGAAATATTGCCCAGGGAGGTGGTGGAGTCACCATCCCTAGAGGTGTTTAAGAGGCATCTGGATCTGGTGCTGGATAGGGTTTAGGGTTTAGGGATTCCAGCACTGACAGGTTGGACTCAATGATCTTAGAGGTCTCCTCCAACCCTGATGAGTCTATGATTCTATGACCATCATGTTGTATCATGCAAAAAATCATATATGAACAGAGTACAAATCAAGCATACGTACAAAGAATAAATCTGTAAGACGCAAATGAACAAAGCCCAAGGTTGGTGAAAAACAGCCCAGGGAAGCAGGAAAGTTTGCATGTCAGTTTTCAGTTTCCTGTTTCACAAGGTAATGAATCGTCTCTTCATTGCAACTGATTGAAGTCCAAGCTTCCTTTACTCACCCAAGATTCTGAGTGACAAGGTTAGGCACCTCTTACTCCTCTTTAAGTTATCTTTGTAAACTCAGTATGTGCAGTGAAAGAAAACCCTCAAACTGAATGAAAAAACCAAGCAAAAGGGGAAAACCCCACAGATTAATTTCTATACTGCATTTCCATCTAAATATTGTGGTTCTGTCACACTTTGTTAATAATATTTTGTGCATCTACTCATACAGGCAGAGAAAGAATCCATGAGGTTCAAATTTAAAAGAGATTTCTGGTTTTTTAAACACAAATTAGGTAGGAAAGAAAAGTCAATATAGTCTTCAAAATGCAAAGAGAAGGCAAGAAAACAAGCTAGTCCAATAAACCTTTCTTAACTGTTTGTCTCTGCAGAAATTTCTTCAAATATCACTGCACAAAGACTTATTTCATAGACAACCACTACTCTTAACTTTACTGAGATGATGCTGATATCTAGGGTGTTATTGATATAATACTCCAAAATTGGATTTTAAAATATTATTAAACTTCAGTCTTAAAACTGAAACATAGAATCATAGAATTTAGGGGTTGGAATGGACCTTACAGATCATCCAGTCCCAACCCTCTGCCCTGGGCAGGGACACCTCCTCACTAGATCAGGTTGCTCAAGGCTTCATCCAGCCTGGCCTTGAACACTGCCAGGGTTGGGGCAGCCACAGCCTCCCTGGGCAACCTGTGCCAGTGTCTCACCACTCTCACAGGAAAAAACCTTTTTCTCACACCCAACCTAAACTTTGCCTCCTCCAGTTTGAACCCTTTACCCTTTGTCCTATCACTGCAGTTCCTAACACAGAGTCCCTGTCCAGCTCACTTGTAGGCCCTTCAGATATTGAAACGTTGCTCTGAGGTCTCCAGACCTTCTCTCCTCCAGGCTGAACAGCCCCAAATCCCTCAGCCTGTCTGCATGGGGGAGATGCTGCAGACCTCTTAGCAACTTTGTGGCCTCCTCTGGACTTGATCCAACAGTTCCATGTCCTTCTTATGCTGAGGACACCAGAACTGTGTGCAGGATTCCAGGTGGGGTCTCACAAGAGCAGATCAGAGGGGAAGAATCACCTCATTTCACCTGTCGCCCACACTCCTTTAGATGCAGCCCAAGAAAGAAAGTTTCTATTTCATCTTAGCCCTGAATAGTTCTCATCAGTTAAATCTGCTACCATGGACCAAGGTACTCTGGCTTCTCCTAATCTATTACAATGCTATTTCAAGGTGGATGTGACTTTGCAGCCCTGATCACACCACTGATGTAATTCCAAGTGTTCTGCACACCTACTGTTATAGAAAAAAGTATGTACACCTGAATAGCCAAAAAACACTTCCTACGAATTTCATATAACGTATTAATGTAAAGCACTAGTTCATTTGCCATATGCATTTTCACAGGCCAAATCTACACATTATTTCAGAGATTGACCAGATTTGAATCACACAAGGAGATGAGATAATACAATACATTCTTCTAAGCCTTCTAAACACCTCAGTATTTCAGCCTCACAGCTAATTACAACTCCCACGTGGCTATGTGCACATTTATTAGTGTTAACAGAATTTCAAACTATTATTTCTATCCTTAGTTAGAGCAGAAGATAACAGTTTTATTCAGCAGCAAACTGAGGCTAAGCAACAACTTATCAAGATTTGAATGATTCCAAACCAAACATGGAAACTGTTTAAGATGAGTTTTGGGGTAAAGAAGTTCATAGGAGCAATATTGAAATATCAAAGAGCTGCAGCAGGTCTAGAGGAGAGCAACAAGGCTGGTGGAGGGACTCAAGCACAAGAGCCATGAGGAGAGGCTGAGGGAGCTGGGGTTGTTCAGCCTGGAGAAGAGGAGGCTCAGGAGAGACCCTATCACCCTCTACAACTCCCTGACAGGAGGCTGGAGTCAATTGGGGGTTGATCTCTTCTCCCAGGCAACCAGCAGGAGGACAAGAGGGCACAGACTCAAGCTCTGCCAGGGGAGGTCTAGGTTGGATATTTATGAAGAGATTTTTTTCCAGAGAGAGTAATCAGACATTGGAATGGGCTACCCCAGGAGGTGATGGATTCACCATCCCTGGAGGTTTTCAAGATGAGACTGGATGTGGCACTTAGTGTCATGGTCTAGTAACCATGGTAGGGTTGGACTCGATGATCTTGGAGGTCTATTCCAACCCGTCTGATTCTATGATTAGAAATATAAACCCCCTAGTCTACCTGTTAAAAACCATACATCTTCCAAAGCAAATACCAACCTGTACAATATCCAAAACCATGCCAGCAGAAACAGTTCCAAATCCTGCTAGCAAAAAAGGTACAAGTATCTGTAATGCCATAATACTACTAGATTCTTTGGGTTGTTTTCTACTTCCTTCCACAATAACATCTTCATTACTGTCACTAGATAGGTTGTCATCCTGCAACATGGCATCTGTTTCTGAAGTATCCATCCCATCACAGTAATTGTAACTGGTACAATCATCATATTTGGGGCTACAGCTAGATGGGCTGTGTCCACTGCTCCCATGAAAACTTGGTTCTGAAAAGTGATGGTACTCCAAGTGTTGTTCGGACCTGACATTAAAACTGTGTCCTGATGGTTGCAATCCTTCTTGCCAGACACCATTCACTTTCTTGTGTCTTTCCTCTTGGTTTATTTGGTAAACAACAGGCACCATACTTGAAAGTAGTCTCAAAAATTTATCAGACTGAATTGTATTAAGACTTATGGTCCAATTTACAAAGCCTTCTCTGTCATGGACTTTGCTATTTGCTTTGGAGATGGTAGATCTGCCTTTACAGTTAGTCATAGTGCTACAGAAGTACAAGTTGAAAAGCACTTTGTTCTTCAGATGTCAGTGAAGCAACCTTGTAGATGAGTCATCACACATGGACCAAAATACTCCTTTTTGGCATGCAAAAATGTTTTTTCATTGCTCTCGGATCTTCAAGAATTTCATAAGCAAGTCTGGAGCTGCAAAAAAAAGAGAAAAAGTATATATTCAACCTTTAAAATATTTAAACTCTACAGAAGATATGTGATACTAGTTTGAATTTTCAAATCACATAAGCAAGTATGTGTAGAAATATCAATCTCCTCCAACATTTCACTGCCTAAGTTGAAAGAAATTAGAAGGCAAAAAGGGAAAGTTGGTGGGTGAGGAAGTTTTACAACCCCATGGACTTCCCAGAGAAAGAAAGAGACAGCAGTGTGGACTGCAAATCATAAAATCAACCGGGTTGGAAAAGACCTCCAAGATCATTGAGTAAAACCCTACCGTGGTTACTAGACCATGACACTAAGTGCTACATCCAGTCTCATCTTGAAAACCTCCAGGGACGGTGAATCCACCACCTCCCTGGGCAGCACATTCCATGCCTGATCACTCTCTCCATAAAAAATGTCTTCCTAATATCTAACCTAAACTTCCCTTGGCAGAGCTTGAGTCTGTGCCCTCTCGTCCTCCTGCTGGTTGCCTGGGAGAAGAAACCAGCCCCCACCTGACTCCAACCTCCTTTCAGGGAGTTGTAGAGGGTGAGAAGGTCTCCCCTGAGCCTCCTCTTCTTTAGGCTCAACAACCCCAGCTCCCTCAGCCTCTCCTCATAGCACTTGTGCTCGAGTCCCTTCACCAGCCTCGTTGCTCTTCTCTGGACCTGCTCCAGCACTTCAATATCGCTCCTGAACTGAGGGGCCCAGAATGATCTCTAAGATCCATTCAAACCCCTAAAATTCTATGATTCCATGATCTGAGCAGAATTATGGGAATCAATGCTCAAAATAAAGGAATACTTGAGGTGAAAAAAATTTTTATAAGAACCCAAAACAAACCAAAAGATATTAAGATTGGATGTAAGAAGAAATGTTTTCCCTGTGAGGGTGTTCAGGCACTGGAATATTGCCCAGAAAGGTGGTGGAGTCACCATCCCTGGAGGTGTTTAAGAGGTGTCTGAATCTGGTGCTGGAGGATATAGTTTAGGGGTTCCAGCAGTGACAGGTTAATGGTTGGACTCAATGACCTTAGAGGTCTCCTCCAATCTTGGTGATTGTGTGACTCTATATTATTTATGTTATGCTCCCTGTATTGTCCTTCCCTCTTTTTCGAAGTCATTCAATGTTTCAGGAATAACTTCAGATAGACTTTACAGTGAGTGGAGATGTCGAAGATTTTAGCAACTAATAGCCTTGTAAGAGATCCAAACTTGTGCCTTTCTATTAGACATCTTCAGACATTGCATGGGATAATTCACTTCTCTATGGCCACAGCAAGTCAGCTACACCAGTTCTGCTGCCCACAGAATTACTTGGCTTGGGGAGTTTGAGTGAAGAGGTGTTGGAGAATGGCTAACAGAACAAGGACATATTTCCATGGAGGTGGTGCGTCAGCAAGGAGACCCCTACCAGCCCAAACAGGGGCACAGCTTCCAGAAAGCATTGTGCAAGCAAGAGTCGAGCAAAGGTCTATGGGAGCTTTGAGCATATAACTAAGAAGTAGGCCTCAGGAACTTAGCTTCTCAGCATTAGAAGTTATTTTCTCAGCATAATGTTGCAGCCGAAGGACAAGCTACCTGGGAAAGCTCAGCAATGTTGCAAACCCAAGGATGAACTATCCCAGGAAAACAAAGAAGGATTCTCCAGAGAACAAAGAAGACTTCTTCACAGCTGCAGCTGCAAGCAGACATAGTATATAAATGTAACCTGTAGAGCCTAGGTAATGCTAAAGTGAATAATAGGTATAGTTTCCCTGCAAGCTAAGAAAGTATACAAATGTCACTTTTAGGGTTTAGGTAATGGTTATGTAATGGTAAAGAGAACAAGAAGCATAGTTATTCATGCACTGTGTAAGAGAAGGACTGAGCTAACAATAAAGTTTGAAGGCTTTTGCAGAACCTCATATTGAGTGTTTTGTGTCTTCCCTGCTCGTGAGCTCTCCGCAAAGAGGTGACTCAGAAGCAACATGACGATTTCCCCTCCATCACTTGCTTTATCCAAGGGAACTGTGACCAAGAAATGACTATTTTACAAATGACCATGAGGTTTATGGCTTGATTGAGAAAGAAGTCATGTTTTGCAAGAAAAAGGAATATTTTTTCCATGAGACCAACAGAGGAATTTAAGCAACCAAGATTCCTGCAATATCTTTTGCTGCTCTGTAGCAGATTATGCAATGTTGAACCTTTTAGTTTAAGTGCCTAAAAACTCCTAGGCCTCAATTCTGGTTTCTGCAGACTTTAAATAGAACTAACAAAGCAACTTTCGCTGCTATCCCTGAGGAGCTCTAACCACAGGACAAAAATGGTGCTCTGGTGAGTGCTGCAGAAAGGCAGAGCAAGAAGAGGCAATTTTGTTTCTTTCTGGCCCAAAGATGGAATTATCTGTGTAAAAAAAAAAAAAAAAAAAAGAAGAAGAAACAGTGCATAAAAAAGAGAGAAGAGCAGAGGCACATATATCATTAAACTACCAACCTCACTATCATCAACTTCTATGACAACAGCAAATGGTTTTACAGAAGAATTTAGAGGAAGAGGAGAGAGGAGAGAGGGAAGGGAATAGGGAAGGGAAGGGAATAGGGAAGGGAAGGGAATAGGGAAGGGAAGGGAATAAAGAATAGGGAAGGGAAGAGTTCATGGAAACTGAGGAAAATCACAATTCCAGGAGGGGTATGGCATAGGCTACTGAAGTTTGCCATCTGATTTATGAAGATGGGAAGTGGCACACTACTAACAAACTTGCAGAGGGAAAAAGCTTTGAATCAATTTACCCACCTGAGTTTCAGCTCATCACAAGAACCATCTAGATTAAAGATACTTCATGATAAAATTCGAGAATGGGATGTAGAATTACGATGTAAAAATGTTCATGATGAAAGACATTTACTGAGACTCACAGCAATTTCACTGGTTTTTTTTGTGGGTGATGGTGTGAATTTTTAGAAAAGGGGACAAGTAACAAATGAAGGATTTTATTTCACTCACAGGAAAATACATTGAGAAAATTTTCTGATAACTTTGACTCTGATACCAAGGCAGAGTCTGACTCTGACTGTGGTTTCTCCCATATGTCCTCCAGTCACATCCCCAGAGTGCTAGACCAGTGATTCATGGAAATTATTAATTGTTCTGGAACTCAGGCCAAAAATATTGGGGTTAATTATCCATATCTTTCTAGCATATGGAATTTTCTCCTTTTAAGTTTGTGTTTGTTTTTTTTTTTAGAAACATATTTTTGAGAAGATTGTGGTTTAATTTAATGTAAGAAAGTGTTAACAAAAAGAAATGGCACTTAAAAAGAAAAAAAAAGAGGAACAGAATAATGATTTGGTCAAGTTCTAAAGGCAGGAAGATACTACAAAGCAGTACAGCCATACATGTTTTTCATGACAAAAAGACTTAGAAGAAAAGTCACTCATGATAAATGCTGGAAAATGGGAATTTAAGAAGCTAAACAGAAAAATCTAAAATCATAAAATTGCTTAAGCTGGAAAAGTATAGTAAAGTATAGAGTGAAGAGTAATTATTTCTTCAGAGTGTACAGAGAGAAGATAACTATGAAACCTTCTGAACATAACTATTCATATCTGAATATCTGTTCCAACAAAAATAATGGTTCAAATGTCATCTAATGCAATACCTTCATCCTGAGTTACAGGATGTTAATACTGCTGTACTTTAAAGGAGGGTTTTTGTACCTACAAGATGCAGCAAGACTATCTAAGGAACTGTAAGAACTTCCTGAGGAGCTTTATCACTGACAAGAAAAATGCCAATGTTGTTGTGTTGTCTAGAAAAGATATGGGAGCTAAAAAGAAGCAAGCTCAACTCAAGTAACTCATGTGAAGAAAAGGCAGTTAAAACCTCAACAATGTCATCCCCAGTCTCTGTAGGGAGATAAGAGACAAAGGTCCTTTGAGAAGTCAGGGATCAGCCACACATAGCTGATCCTACCTGGCATGTTATGTATGAAAAGAAAGGACACCTTGTCTTTGTCCCTACAAGCAAAATAATGAATTATGCTCAAACTAGGACCATAAAAATTTCCACTTCTTTATTGTTTCTTAAGTACCTACATTAAGTAATTTCTTCTTTTCCTCCATACATTTTGCACCACATAACAATTACTGTGTATTATTCACCTATGTATCCTGCTGGCATGTTATGTATGAAAAGAAAGGACACCTTGTCTTTGTCCCTACAAGCAAAATAATGAATTATGCTCAAACTAGGACCATAAAAATTTCCACTTCTTTATTGTTTCTTAAGTACCTACATTAAGTAATTTCTTCTTTTCCTCCATACATTTTGCACCACATAACAATTACTGTGTATTATTCACCTATGTATCCTGCAAACAGAGAATCATAATAGAATCAAATCAACTGGGTTGGAAAAGACTTCCAAGATCATCAAGTCCAACCCTACTGTGGTTAATAGACCATGGCACTAAGTGCCACATCCAGTCTCATCTTCAAAACCTCCAGGGACAGTGAATCCACCACCTCCCTGGGCAGCACATTCCAATCCCTGATCACTCTCTCTGGAAAAAAATCTCTTCATAAATATCCAACCTAGACCTCCCCTGGCAGAGCTTGAGTCTGTGCCCTCTTGTCCTCCTGCTGGTTGCCTGGGAGAAGAGACCAACCCCCACCTGACTCCAACCTCCTGTCAGGGAGTTGTAGAGGGTGACAAGGTCTGCCCTGAGCCTCCTCTTCTCCAGGCTAAACAACCCCAGCTCCCTCAGCGTCTCCTCAAACATACAAAACATAACTAACAGTCCTGAAAACATAAACAAACAGGAAACACTGCCATACCCTTACATTCACTGAGGATGTGTCCCTGAAAATGGAGACACTTGGCAATCCAACAGAGAAGAAACCAATTTCACCCATAAG